AGCTTTTTTTTTTTTTTTTCTTTCATCGAGAGCTAGTGAAGCCTTTTTTCGCCGAGCGATGGTTGTTTGTATTCCCCTGAAACCGGGGAATCCCCGAAAACAACGTGCGTCCCCGAAAAAAACCCCAAGTTTCAGAGGACTTGCCGAACAATCGAGTTGCTCACGAGAGCAGTAAAAGTTCGTCCGGGCACGCACCGTCAGTCAATCGCGTTACAAGCGACGGGGAGGGGGGGGGATGTAAAAACTTTGCCGATAAAGTGGTGGGCGCAATTTGCAAACTGCCCGATTCGGGAGTTACTATATACATATGTATCCATGCACATGGGGGAGAGAAGAAGAAGCGATTGGAGTATAGGGACGCGTAATCGAGTCGGGCGGGGTATGGCGCGCAATATGGGCGTAATTGGGTTACAAGCCCGGGCTCTCGTTCGATTATTATTATTGCTCCCCCCCATCGGTGCCATTAGTTGGATGCACGCGTGCCCCGGGACGCGATAGGAAGTCTCCGAGAAATATACAACGGAGGAGACAATCAAGCTAACAAAATCACACAAAAAAAGCAGCTATACTCATGATTCAGATTTCGGCGAGAAGTTTCGGCGCTCATTTCTTCGATGTGACGCCTCGATTAACCAATCCCTACTCGTTTTCTGCATCTATTAATTTATCAATGTTGAATTTTCGATGAAGAAAAGGCGTACCATCACCGCATGTCACGACTGATCGAGTAAGGGTTGGTTGGTTGGTCGTGGGTGCCTTTCCTCTCCTCGGCAACTCGGGGAGCTGATAAGACGAGGAGACGTACAGGCACAAAGGTTCGCACACGCACGAGACGCGTCTCTTTTTTCGTTCAATTGACAAGCGGCTCTTTTGCTTATTGTTTTTTTTTTTTTTTTTTTTTTCAACCTCGAGAGAAATGTAGAAAAAATTTTTACTTCCAAAGTTGCACAAGAGCAAACGAATATGTATATCCCCGATGTAAATCGACCCCAACTTTCGTCACAAAAGCGCGCGTGAAACGAAATCACCGAGTCACCGGGCCGAGCACTCCGTATATATGTACATCAGAGCAGCAAAGAGCTCCTATCCTTATCGCGCTATCCTCGAGCTATCATGCACACACGAGCGCAGAGTATATGGCCGAGCCAAGAGCCCCAGCGGAAGTCCGGAGGGGGATGTACTCTTCCTTCCTTCCTCTCCCTCGTACACGTGTACCGCAGACTTGGCGACTCTCTACTCTTGTCCGTTGGAAATTGATTCGCCGTCGTCGTCGGTTAGCCTTGACTTTTTCGGAGCGAGAAGAAAGAACCCTCTTACACACCTATACGGTCGTACGTCTCGGTTGCTTTCCCCTGGCGAAAACATTTTATCACTCCGCTTGGGTTTCTTTTCCTTATCCACGCTTCCCTGTGTATATATGTACACCCCACACCCATACGTATATACGTGGCACACTCGTACCCTACTTATTACACACGGCTGCACTGAAAATCGATTCTCGTGCACGAGCCAGCGCGGTATACCTACGTACCTGCAGTATTTGTGTTGAGGGGCACAGAAAATACTTGCCGCGATAACTCTTTGGGAGAGCTGGTACTGTGGGAGTTTCGCGTGATTAGCGGGAAATTCGTGCCCGAGTTTTTTTTTTTTTCTTTTACGCGAGGAGCTTGCGAACAGTCGCTGATCGGCGATAGGGAGCTTGCGAGTTGATTATGACGCGAGGACAATGGAAAGGTCACTTTTGCAATTGCTTCGAGGCCGCCAAATTGTTGTTTTAATGAGCAGCTCCTTGTTTTTTTACTTCGCGATACAGATGGAAATCGAGTTGTACTGTACCAATCAAGACTCGGAGCTAACTTTTGCCATTAGAAACTTTCGTTGAATTTTTTTTTTTTTTTTTTTTTTTGCTTTCTCCGGTCAATTGGAGAGACGCTGTGATTTTCATTCCGCATAATAGTTCGATATCGTTGAAACATCGAAAAAGGACGCGTTGTCACCACCGATGATGTATAGCGATAGCTGTAAACAGTTAAAAACAACCAGGGTGTGGTATATTAATATTCCATCGAGTACCGTACGCGGAGCCCTTTCCGACCCAATTGCGTTGACTTGGTGCAGAGAAACGCGCAAATCTCTATCGCGTCTCCGTTGAACGTGCACATGCAGTCGCACGGAGCAGGGAGCTAAAAATAAAGCCAGCGATTAAAAATGCGCATATTATTACGCGGAGCTCGCTTTTTTTTTCGATCGGACGCCCACGTGTCTTACTCAGGCGATCGCGAGAAGATCATTCGGAAAAATAAGAGAAGCGAGCAGCAAAAGCTTACTCCTTTGGCCAGAAAATGAAAATTAAATGCCCGGAGCATCCAAAAAATTAGCCCCTCGTAAATCCAAAGTGTGCAATTTTCGGTCCTCTCGCAGTCTCATAAATAAGCCCCAAAGTGTAACCCAGCCCCCAAAGACAAAAGCTCCCGACCTTATTACCCACCCTCTCGGCAGATCGATCTCCTCTGCTTGCATTAGCGAAGGCCTGTCTGGGCTCCTTTATCTCGGTGACATGTGTGCCACGTGCAGCTCCGTAACCCTTGCCACGTACATACACAGTGCACCGTACTTTACTTTGGTTGGCTCTTACTATCCGAGGAGTATGAAAAGGTCAAAAGTGTACATGATGTAGCGTGGTGACCAAACTTTTCTCGGTTCATCTGCGATCCATCTCTTTTCGAGGTCGTTTTTCTTAGTAGCGTCTCATCCTCCGGCGGAAGACGAATGGCCCAAGTTTTTGATTCATCGGACACGTTGCGTTGATGTAAATACACTAGGAGCTCAGGGGCTGAATTGTTAATCCTAGCGTGGGATGCGGACGGTGCGCAGGTGATTTAGAGTCGGTCTCCGTCCAACGTCGTCGACGAGGGTCTCTTTATCTTGTACGCGAAATGGGGGAATATTTTACACTCAAAGATATGACCGAAATTTCAAGAGATACGTACATGTATGTCATGATGAAAAACATAATGAATTTTGCGTCAAGCGAGGGTTTAGTAATGGGACGCTATGAGTACGCGGGCGTCCGTGGTCCCGTCAATTGGGATCGTAGAGTGGGTAAACACTCGGGTTGCGCAAAGTTTTGCTCGAGCCGGCAAGTGTTTGCGCGTTGCTGCTTTGACTCTCAAAAAGAAGCACTTGGCACGAAACTCGAGAAGAGTGGCTGTGGAGAAGAAAGGGAGGAGGTGAAAAAGATGAGAGAAACGCGAAATGAATATCGAAAGTCCGCTGCTGCTGTGCGACCTCGACTGTGGACTCTTGACCTAAAATCGGTGAAAAATTAAGCGTGAGATTGTTAACCATGTAAGCCTCTCGTGTCGCGTTGGAGCTTTTTTCTTTTTTTTTTGTTTATTTTTTTTTTTCGTTACTTTGTTTTTCCCTCGTTGTTGGAAAAACGAATAAACTCGCAATTGCGCGGTTATTGCTTCGTGATGCAAAATACGCGCGCGACCATTCCTGGCAAGCAGTAAAAAGAAACACTTAATAATCCATGCCTCGTGTCTTATGGAGCGGGCGAGTTTGTAAAAATAGATGGCACTCGTCCGGGGAATATTTCATTTTGTGCATTGTAAGGCCAGTTCGTGTTTTTATATGTGACGACGCTCGTAAAAATTTGGTTTTTGGCAAATTTTGGAAGAAAAAAAATATCAAATGCCAGCAAAAGTGGTGGCGAAGGAATAAATCTTTTTCAACGCGTGATTTTGACAGTCTATGCACTTGAAAGTCTTGATAAAATGATCCGAAATATTTTCAAAACTTTTGTATAATCTAACTAGAATTTTGTAGCGCAGCTCCTCGCGTGGAATTAATAAAAATAAAAGTGTAGTTTGGAAATTTTTCGTTTGAACGTGCGAATGCAAGAATGAGAGCTGCGTGAACGATTGACCGTATAGTTAAAATGGAAATTAGTCCCCTTCATTTGCGTTTGATTTCCTTAACAGGATCTAGTTGGGATTAAACGAGTGACAAAAGTTTCGATTTACACGCAAGAATAAAGTGCTCCAGGAAGCATGACTAATTCTTAATAATCGCTGTCTCGTTGAAAAAAAAAAAAATTTAAGAAGTAATTATGCCTGATAAGCCTGTGGGAAATCGATATGGACCAAGAGAAAGTGACTTCTTTGGAGAGGAGATATCCTCCATCGGCATGTCAGTGCGGCCGAGCGGTAGTGCCTCGTCTGGTGAGTTTATAAAAGTCATGCAAAGCCATTTGCACATTTTTTCAGGGGTAAATATTTTATTGTCATAATCTATTATTGCTTTCATGTAGTACACATGACCTACACACCAAAGAACGTCAGAAAACAACAAAAAACAGTCATTTCACTATGTGCACTTCCGCAAATAAGTACCAAGAACCTCGCATTTCTCCGACATTCATGCGGCACTAATAAATTAAAAAAAAAAAAAAAAAAAACTTTCTTGATCTACAGTCGCACACAAACCTATAGCCTTGCTTTGTCACATACACCAGTTCACGTAAAAGCGCTTTGCGTGACCGTGCAAATAAATCTCAAGATTAATATTCGATAAATTTTGCGCGTCCCGTGTAAAACAACACTGTATGTGTTCATGAAAATTTACCAAAGTGCACACCAACTTTTACACGCCAACGCTTGCGAGTATCGAATTTCAGTAGTCATTTGGTTAATATACATGCAATGGAGGTGACTGCGATTGACGCATTTAAAAAAAAAAAAAAAAGCTTTCGGTCGTGCATTGTTCGGCCATCCGATTTCTTTGAGCGAATAAGCTTCTATTCAAGCTCACGCTGCAGTTGAAGCAAACAACCAGCGACTACGTGTCCGTGGGAGAGCTTTTGAATACATTTTCTCGGTGTCGCTCGAACGTCCGCGGTCGTAATTACCCGACAATACCGCTTTGTTTGTCCACGATGACATTTTCCGCCATTGTACCAGCTTCTAAAACGTGTCGTGCATCTACATACACATATACGTATGCTTATGACAATGTTTTTGCACGTAAAGGTGCAATTTATTATTGATGCACAAGAGAAAATTTTACAAGCATTGAGGAATTAGTGAAATAATTATCATGCAACGGGGGTACACAGCAGGTGCCTTACGATCCTTTTTAATTAACAGTATGCCATGTACATGTAATTTACGTACTTAAATTCTACTTTGTAACTTTGATACATGCCAACCTTTCAAAGAAAAAAAAGATGCCGAGTTTCCTTCAAGCGAACCTCAACCCCACCTATATAGAGGTCGATTTCATTAGCGCTCAAAAGCACCCACAGGATTAATTACAAAAACACTCCTCTGGCCCTCTAACGTTAACCATTACTTTCCCCCCCCCCCCCACCATCCCCGTCTCCTTTCTCGGTATAAGGCGATGACTTCCAGCCAAGGCAAAAAGCACAGCGCGCGAATATTTGAGCAGGGCAAATAACTGAAAGCTCTAATCACCGTCACGATACCGCGCAATTTTCTCCCCCACCCCACCCCCCCTGAATAGCTGACATACATGTATACGTATATGATGTATACGTAACGTTCGCGTGTGCAAATTGCCTGTACGCAGGTATATCGAGCTTGGCGAGTTGCGGCGAAGTCGAGGCGCTGCCGGAGCTACCGCCCCAGGACGAGGAGCGCCTACAAAGAGCGGCCCGATCGCTTCAGCAGCGACTGGTGTTGCGCCAGTGGCTGGCTGATCATGGCCTCCACAACCACTACCAGAGGTATGTACCACTGACCACGTGTCCTTTTTATTTTTTTAATTTTTTTATTTATACGTTCAATCGTGGCTTTTGTCGTTACAATATCGTGTGTATATGTATAAACGAGGCTGGCGTATGTAAACGTGAGCTTTTACGCGTGAGCTTTTTTGCCCGTCTCTTTTTGGGCGCCGCGATGGGAGCTCGTGTTTATTGGTTTTGGCCCGAAGCTATATACGCCACGGTGCAAGTGAAAGAGCGAGCTTTGCGAAAACCCCTCGCGTAATGGCGCGTCTGTAACTCGGTGCGAGGACGTTTTCCCTCGTGGTCTGGTCTCCGTTTGCAGCAGCGAAAGCTTTGGTTTTTTTATTTTGGGGTTACCGGAAGAGGTTATAGTCACCGCTGCTTGGGAGCTTTTTGTGTACGACACCTTTGTCTTCCCAAAAACTAACATTTCTTCGAAAACGAGCTTTTGTACCGCGTCGCGTGTGATTAATCAGTTTGGACACTATATGCTCGGAATGGCGAAACTTTTTTACTTGTTTGCACGAGCGAAAATTTAGTTTCGTTGGCGTCAAAATGAGCCGCGATTTCCACCTGCATGTAGTTTTTGCGAATAAGATCTTGCTTGCTTCCCGTACGAATATTTTTCTAGAGCTAGTATGCAATATACACTTAATCCATTTGGGGGGCATTATTTAACAGTCGCGAATCTTGATGATAAAATAATTCGCGGCGAAAACCGTATCGGACTATTTATTTCTTTTTATTTCAAAGACGGGCAATGAATACTATAGAGACATGCGTGGACTCATAATCAGCGAGAATCGCAATTACATTTGCGCGCCTCTCGAAGAGGAAGAGGGGGGAAAGAGATCGTGAGTCACGGGACGCAAATATACCGCGGTTCACTCGTTTCTCGGCACTGGATGGGAAAAAAAAGTAAAATTTTTTTAAAAGAAAACACGAAAAACAAACGAATGAATAAATGAAAAAAAAAAAAAAAATATGTCAGATTGATGCAACTGGAGGTGATGTCGCTCGAGGACGTCTACTGGGTGGAGGACAACTCGGTGCGCGCGGCGCTCGGCAAGGACCTGGGTCGCTGGATCCAGGCGCGCCAGACGCTGCCCACCTCGAAGGAGGACCTGGACGTGCTCAAGGCCGACCTCTGGAGCAACGTGGTCAAAAACAGCCATCACCAGGACGCTTGGACCTGGGGTACAAACACGAGAGAGACTCTTTTGTTTTACCTTAGTTCTTTTGAAATTGATGCCTCGGCTTCAGTCCGGCTGATGAGAGGGGGCAGTAGCACCTTTTTCTTGGTTTTTCATTCACATGAATGGCTCTTGTTACGCGCGAGAGTACCTTGTAATTGAGATTTAAAAGTAGAGAGGCCACAGATGCGTGATTCTTTTTATTATCTTTGTCTTGTTTGATTATTGACACGTATTTGATGAAATAAGTGGTCAATTTAGTTTTTTTTTTTTATTTTTTTATCATCACGAAACGCGTTACTTACATAAATTTGCCCTTAATTGTGACGATTAATACAATTAAATATTCGAGATGTACGTGCACAAGGGCAATTATTGATAACGTGGCTCGACGACTCTTGCCAATCGGGTAAATTCCTTTATTCGTACAGTATGCATTTTGCGAGCAGCAATTTCTTGCAAGTGACAATTTACTTCAAACAAGTGAGCAATGAGTAGGTATTGCTCGTAACGTTTTATTTCGCGTGACAAGAGGGTTATCGCTGAAAAAATGAAACTCGTGTCCGCCACAGCTTGTACATGTACTACACATCCCGGCAATTTGAAAGAAAGGAAGACACTGATACGTCCATCACGCGTTATCTGGAATAAACATTCATTAGCTTAATTGTACGAAGCTCGATTAACCTAATTATGTTGAAAATTTGCGAGCAGAAAACAAAAAAGAAAAACAATAACACAACAGAGGCATGAAAAAAAAAAAAAAAAAAAAAATTTAATTAATCGATTTTTCGTGTTGGCTCTATATCAAGCCCAGCCATCGCTTACGTCATCCGTGTTCATGTACATGTACGTACGTACGGCAAACTGACAATTGTCAGGTATGGAATCGATGCATACGATATTTCGCTTAGTGTCGGCTCAGTCATTACTTATGCCTTTGCCTGATACGGTACGTAGACATCGATACACCTAACTCGCTTTTTCGCTGGCGATGCTTGCGCATTGTAAATCCCCACGAAAAAAAAAAAGAAAAAAAAAGCCAAAAATGATGATAACCCATAACAATGTACTGTCCTCGCAGGCGGTATGCTGGTGGTCTCGGTATCGGTCGCGGGGTTGGTTACCCTAGCGGCGATGACGCAGCCATCCCTAGCCCCCGAGGCCAAGCACTCGCTTCTCCAGTACGTCACCGGAAAGTACCTGCTTCCCGGCAATTGTCGAGTGCACTTTGAATGGGACGAGCCCCAACTCGTTGGCGAGACCATGACGTTCAACGTTAAGGTGAGCACACCCGCCGTTTCTTTCTTTCTTTTATTTATTTATTTTTTTATATTTCCTCTTCTTCTCTGTTGTTGATGGCTCTCTTTGTATGCATACATAAAACAAAGGAAGGAGCTTTCATCGGAGGGACGTTGAAAGTTGTGTTAAAATATTAAGGACCAATTGAAAAGTTGGCAAACTCATTCAGGGCAATTTGTGAGATATACCTATATACGTGTGTACGAGTTTTGCGATTCGCTTTTAATTTTACGCCCAGCGGAAGAACCACCGGGGAACGGGGCTATTGTGGGTTTTGGCAAGTTTCTCGCGAAAGCTCTTTTACCTTCTCGGAGTTATTTTCTCGGTTGGGATGATGCACTTTCCTAATTGTTCTGAAATTTTAATAGCCCAACCTGCACCTCCTCTCGAAGGTTTTTTTTTTTTTTTTTCGTCCACCTCCCACGCTTGAGCTTCGTAAAAAAGTTTTTAACGACGCGCAATCGGCTCTTGAATAAAAAATGTTATCTCGAATGAGAGACTTGAAATTAAAAAAAAAAAAAAAAAGCCCGAATGAACCTACATTTTTGATTATACAAACACGATACAGTCGTCAAGTCATCCTCAAACTCTTCCCAATCGACAACGAACAAAAAGAACTCGCGTACACGGCAGATTGCGATTAACGGCGCGTTTGTTGCAGTTTTACCAGAGGAACGGTCAGCCGTACCCCATTTGCGACAAGGATAACCTGATAGTCGAGGTGACGGAGGGCACCCGGCAAGTGGCCACCGTTATCCAACTGGGGGGCACCGATCCCCTCGCGGCCAACACTGCGGTCGTCAAGTTCACCGTGCGCCACGCGGGACAGTACAGGATCGCCGTCCTCATCGGCTCCTGCCACGTGCACGGCAGTCCATTTCTGAAAAACTTCCTCCCCGGTAGGTATACATATATACACAACGAGGTGGCCGTGTATTTTTAACCGTTTGGTCGTCCAGGGCCACCGGATGCGAACAAAACGGTGTTTGTCCGGCACAGTTCGACCGTCGTGTGCACGGCTGGGATCGCCCACGTCATGACGATCGAGCCCCGGGACGAGTACAACAACCTCTGCGCTTTCGGGATCAACGACAAGCCCGTCGACGGATACATTGTAAATATAACCCAGGTGAGTGTTTCATCATCTAAAAACTCTGTGCGTGAAAATTGAGGACTCGGGTGTCGCACAGATCGGTAGTTCGTCGGGGGACAAATCGCCGGTCCAGTGCACCGTACAGCTGGAATACGACGCTCCGAACCAGCGGATTCGGTTGAGGGTGAGCTTTCCAAAGGGCGGCTGCTACCACGCGACCGTCAGCCTCTGCGGGCTTCAACTCCACAACGGGGACTTTGACATCATAGTGCTGGAAAGTGAGCACCCATTGTTCGATTTCACGATGGTATTTTGTAGACAAAACGGCTGAAATATGAATTGTGGTGTGGTTGAAAGGTGCGGTGGCGCGAGCGGTTCACAACAACGTCGCCTCCAAGGACCCGGACACGTGCTACGCCGCCAAGTTGCTGGGCATGCAGGGCGAAAGGTTTTCCAAACCGAAAAAGGTCTTTTGCTTCATCTCCCCCAAGCAGCTGACCATCAAGGAGTACCTCCTCAAATTTATCCCCAAGCGGCTGGTCACCTTTAGGCTCTGTCCGTCTACCAAGGTACACCGAGGCCGACAATACCTGTACTTGGTTGGAAAAAAAAAACAACAAATTTAAATCCTCGTTTGGTTCAAGTTTCACTTTGATAGCCCGAACAACCAGTACGAGGGCTACGACTCGTTCACGATCGACGACGGCTGTCAGCCCCCGGTCGAGCTGATATCCCACTACCGCGACATCATCGCCGCGACCTTCACCCTGTTTCTCCTGAAGAACATCGGCGGCAGCGAGACCTTCGCCGATAAACAGGACTTTTTCTACCACGAGGTCAGGAAACACCACCAAAAGCACTACCACGAGAAACTGTCCATGAAGGTCCAGCGCGACAAGTTGCTCGAATCGGTAGGCTGGAGTTGTGTACCTTTCCCCCCCCCCCATCGCTAGACACACAGAGTGACATGTGAAATCCCTTCCTTTGCAGTCGATGAAGGCCACGAAAGGCTTCTCGGTGAGCGACTGGTGCCGGAACTTTGAGATAACGTTCCAAGGGGAGCAAGGTAAGCCTGCAGTCGCAAACGTCGTAAACACTCGTGTAACCCGTATAGCTCTCTTTTGGCGGCAGGTGTGGATTGGGGCGGGGTGCGCCGGGAGTGGTTCGAGCTGATCTGCGCGTCGCTCTTCGACCCGGGAAACGGACTGTTTGCCTCGTTCGGCGAGTCCCACCAGGCCCTCGTCCACCCGAACAGCAGACGCCGACCGGGCCACCTGAAGCTCAAGCACTACGAGTTCGCCGGCCGCATAGTCGGCAAGTGCCTCTACGAATCGGCCCTCGGCGGCTCCTACCGGCAACTCGTGCGCGCCAGGTTCACCCGGTCCTTCCTCGCCCAGATAATCGGCCTGCGCGTCCACTACAAGTACTTTGAGCAAGACGACCCGGATCTCTACCTCAGCAAGGTCAAGTACATCCTGGAGAACGACGTCGAGGAGATGGAGCTTTACTTTGTCGAGGAGGAGTACGACAAGGACGGCCAGCTCTGCAAGGTTGGCAATTAACTTGTCCTGCTTCGCTTATACACGCGCCGTTGCTCCTCGTATTGTCATTTGTTTTTTTTTTTGGAAACGCAGGTAGCCGAACTGATACCCGGTGGGAGCAAGGTCCGCGTGACGAACGACATGAAACTCCGGTACCTGGACGCCCTGGCCCAGCACAGGCTGGCCAGCTCGATTCGCAGCGAGGTCGATCACTTCCTCAGGGGACTCAACGAGCTCATACCCGACAACTTGCTCGGCATCTTTGACGAGAACGAGCTCGAGGTAGGATCATACATACCTACCTCTCCAGAAGATGGTGTAACATTAACAATGTCCTTTGGTTTTCAGTTGCTCCTTTGCGGTACCGGGGAGTACAGCGTGGCGGATCTGCGGGCCCACCACATAGCGAACGGCAGTTCGCCCGAGTTCCTGAGGGTCCTCGACTGGTTCTGGACGGCGGTGAGCAACTTCACCCAGGAGGAGATGGCGCGGCTGCTCCAGTTCACCACAGGCTGCTCCCAACTGCCCCCGGGTGGTTTCCAGCAGCTCAGTCCTCGCTTCCAGATCACCGCGGCCCCCACCTTCGAGAATCTCCCGACCGCCCACACGTGGTGAGTGTACGCATGATTTTTCTCTTCACTTCTGGTTGACCGGCATTGATGATCCTGTACTTCCGTGTTTCTCACAGCTTCAATCAGCTCTGTTTGCCCGACTACGAGTGTTACGATCACTTTGAGAAGGCGCTGCTTTTGGCCATCAGCGAAGGCACCGAAGGCTTCGGGATGATCTAAGCGCCACGAAATCAGTTATATCTTCTAGTCTGAACGAAAAGAAAAAAGAGAAATTCCTAGCTCAACTGTATTGTTAACTACGCGCGGACGTCGATTGCCGATGGGCCGATTTTTTTTTCCTTCGCTCGCTATACACGCAAACTGTACACACGATAAACGGTTGGATGCAAATTACTGGTCCTAACCGTCTAGTGGTTCTGTTGGAACTACGAGGTTTAGATCCTCGTCCTTTTTTATACGGCAAACAAGAGTATGATCTGTTTTTTATAAAAAAAAAAAATTCATCAACATTTGATTCGCAATAGTAACTTGTTAGAATTCATTTCGAAGCGCATGGGCTGGGCTTTTGTGATCGACAAAGTAGTTAGCGATCCACCGTAGCCGGAACGATTTTGTAAATATTTATTTTTCTTGTTTTTTAAATAGTGCACCAATTTTGTTGCTTTTGAAGCTCTGGTTTCCAGTGAATGAGCTTTTCTTACGCGAAAAAGCCAGCCCTTACTATGACAAATAACGAGGAACAACTTTATTTTTTATCGATACGCTTATAAACAAAAATCAACGGGTTTGTAAATTCCAAAGAACTATATCGTAGATTAAAACGTTGACAAAACTGTAACTATGTACTTGTAGTTGGTAAGGCAATTCATAGACTGCTCATTATTTAGAGGGAAGAAGGGAAAGTTGTGTACATTGCATTTACGCCGCGAGTAAGCGGCAAATGTAAATTTATCGAGTGCAAGATAACGAATACTATATACAAAAATGAGGAGCGATCGGTGGTGCGTTGAATCAAAGCAAAAGTTTTATTTCCTCAAATCTACGAATATAAAGATATAAATTATAACGTATATATATATTTCAAATTCACGAATGTATATTTACTCGACGAATCAGACGCAAAGTATGAGTCTTCTCCTCATCGATCTCTAAACCGACACATCACTCGTCACAATAATTAAACAGAGACAAAAAAAAAGTATATCAAAAATAAAAGTTACTACAATAATAATGATGGTGTTGACTGTGGTTTTTCATTATTTCACTTATTCAATTTAAAATACGTAAAAATACTTGAAACCACGTCCCTTTGCTACTTAATTACAGTACAAAAAAAAAAAAAAATCTTCGTCTCACTCGTTCCAACATCGACGACCCAAGCTTCTCCTCGTTTGCTCTAAAAGTAAACTGAAAACGAGTAAATTTTAGTGATGTGACGAAAGCTGTCCGAGAAAAATTTGTACGCGTACATCATTTATACAAGTAAGTGCCTATATAAACAGCGTACTTTTTAAAAAATCAGGGTCGTACTGCTGGAAAAGAAGGACAGGGTCCGTAGGAGCATGGTGGGCGCGCGAACGAAGCTACCGGCAAGTTGAAGGACCCGGTCGCTCCAGCCGCACTCCTGGGACTGGCGGAGCACGCGCTCCCGCAGGTCGTTCAGCTCGGCCCTGAAATTGGGATTTGCGGTGCGGGAGATTGCGAGAAAAAATGCCAGCTAGGGCTCTCCCGAGGCTTTACACTATATTATTATTATTATGTTTCGAGGCGCACTTTTGGCTCAAGAATGTTTATTGCGTGGGAAAGCTCACGAACGTAAACCGAGTAACGTGTGACACACTTCTTTTGCCGTGGGTCCCCTGGCTTATTTGGGAAATGCAAGCTTAAATTTCTTCCTCCACCGAATAGTTTTTAACCCGATGCTTTTTTCTTTTCAAAAATCATACAGTGGCAGTATCATCTGTTTTATTTTACTTTCAATCGTCACATCTATTACAAAAGTAAAATTAATAAAGACTCCATCATCAGAAAAATAAATCGTTTGCATATCGTATTACACTTCCGCTTTGTTCATTTTTTGCCACAAGTAAATGCTCCTTTGGATGATAAAATCCTTCGTTCATCCCCGCGATCGATGTGATGATTAAAAGCCTGTGCCATTTGAATTTTGAATTTCCAACAACACAACAGACAGTACTGCCACTACAATATTTTAATAAAAAAAAAAAAAAAGTCCCTCCAAATTCCTTGATATTGCAAATTTTTTCCTACGATTGGCGCACAGCTTATCCATATAAAAACCGAAAAAGACCGGAAAAACGTGCATCAATGTACATTCACGAGTTTTTTTCCCCAAGTGGCTTAAAATGGCACGTGAGGCAAATACACCAATAATCCCGAAAGTGAGTCGGACGGGCTCTTACATCTGGGCGTTGCACTCGGCCTGGATGCGTCGGATCTTCATCTCCTGGTGGACGAGTTGGCTCTCGAGGTACTCGGCCCGCGAGCCCAGCGTCCGCTCAGTTTCCTCGCCCAGCCGCAGTCGCTCGTCCAGCCTCGTGTTCTCCTTCTCCAGCCTCAGCACCGTATCCTCCAGCTCGGCCTTTTGCTCCTCCCGGTCTCTCATTTGACTGGCGTGAATCGGGGGATCAATGCTTTACCATCGCAACTATCATCTTTGGACCATTTTAATGCAAAACCACCTCAAGCATCTCTGGACTTCCTCCTGCAGGGAACTGGTGACGGCGAGCTGAGTGGCCAGCTGCATCTGCGTGTCCTCGAGAGACAACTCGGCCTTCGTGGCGCGAGCGTTCCTCTCCTCGGCCAAAGCCTCGCTCGCCGAGAGCTACGCGCATCGTAAACACGTGAGTGGTATTGTGGAAAGTTAATTTTAAAACGCAGAGTAAAGACGAGAAATGCGAGCATTTAGCAAAAACAGACAATTCAATTGTACGCTTTAAAAACGCGGTACTCCGATGTATGAACCATTTCCACGAAATAAGCTCGAAAAGCACGCGTTTCCGTCAATTAGAAGCACACTTTTTTAGTTTCAAGTACTTTTACTTCAGCAAGAACTGTCAAAAGAGAAAAAAAAGCGTCGAGTTTGTCGTGTTAACTCATGCTCGGTGATGCAAAACATAGTCCACCTCCCCAAGAGCGCACCTTGCAACATCGATCCTCTATATTCTTGGCTTATAGCTCTTCTTACTCGCGTGCGAGCTACATTACACACTGCAAAAGTACGGTAGGTACACGCGAGAGATAGGGCTATTATGTGACATTGAGTCAGCGTACGCGTAAATACTCCTGAAGCTCTGCCGCCTGAGCCATGCACGCGAGAAAGTTGACTCAGCCTTTGGCTATACATAGGTACTACGGCTCGCGCAAAGGGATCGTTGACTCCGAAAGCTTTGCCCTTTGCAAACGCGGGTATTGTACTTGTTAAAAGGGGCGGAGGTAGGTCTACACTTTGAGCTTCTCGTTTTGGCGGACGAAAATGGGACCGTAAGCCCCCCTGCGAAGATTCACAGCTAAGGGGAGAGACGCGCGAGCTGTTTTTAAACAACGATGCGCTCGGGAGCTTGCGAGCACCAGCTGCTGGATCTCCCTTGTTTTGCCTTTTATTCCAACTTGACGCCCGTCGCGGTGACAAATGGGCGCGCGTTGCTGGAAATCTGGTGCTCTTGACACGCGCGCGCGAGAGCTCGTTTCTGATACTTTCGCACTTTCCACGACCCCCGTTCATACGCGAAAAGAGGAGATCGAGGCTTTTTTGAAAAAATGTAGTCACCTCCAACTAAACCAACGATCGCGCGTACACGCAGAGGGTGGCGGACACAAGAGGGAGAAGGTTGAATCACCGGGTACATTCGCGGAAAGGATGATCATTTCGTGGGGGCCGCGACCCCGTTCGGGTCGGCTGACTCATCCACCCACCCCCTGTACGGATCAATTCCCACCCGTCCTCGGGTTGTACACCATCGCGACCAAAGAAGAGCGACCTGATGTGTGTATCGTGTGCCTATACATGTGCGCGTACGTTGCGCATTGCAGTATTGTACTGCAGCGTCGAGAGGGTACAACAACCCCCACTGTATACAGGTGGGGCTATATGCAACTCGAGCGAAATGAGCTGACTCGTTGTACGGGGTTGAGTTTGGGGTGTTGTTAAGAGGCTTACTTTTTCGCCCTGAGCTTTCTGGCGCTTATGTGTTGATTTTCTCGTACGGATAGGCGTGTAAAAGGTATATTCGTCGAGCGTGATAATGGTAAGTAAATGGAGAAAAACAAAAAATGGACCTTTTCGAGCAGAGCTTTCCTCTCCTCCCTGACTCTGAGCAGCTTTTCCCGGTCCCTCGCGATCTGCTTGTCGAGCGTGTCGATCTGGTCCCGCGCGCTGCGCAGCTCGTTCCGCAGATTCTCCACCGTCACCGACTGCTCCTCGACGATCTCGTGCTCCTTGCGCGCCTCCACCTCGGCCCCCTCTTTCGCCTAAAGACGAACAAACACAAATAAGACCATCCAATGTCTCTGCTTTTACGTAGGGCCACTCACGATTCTGAGCTGGTCCCGTTCCTGGGCAGTCTCGTCCGCCTGGGCCTTGGCGCGGTGGAGCTCCCCCGCGAGGCTCGCCACGCGCGAGTTCTCCTTGTCGAGGAGCTTCCTCAGCACGACTATCTGCAGCTGGAGGTGGTCGACCTGTTGGGTGACGCCGGCCAGGGCGGCCCGCAGCTCGCCCGACTCTACCCTCCTGCGCCTCCAAGCGTTCACCACGAGCACACGGCAGACGAGGCTCGCCGCCCTCGAGTCCCGCTGTGCCCCTTCGTCCCTACGAAGGACCGCTGGCCAGCGCATCGGTGCGCACCCACCCGCAACCTCGACCTCGGCCTCGGTCTTTGGGTCGACCAGTCGAGCCGACACTGAGCCGCTGCTGGTGTCCTGTCTACACGTGTATCATACGGGTCTTGTTGAGCGTCATTGAGGGGGGCACGCCGATCGTTGAGTTTCACTCACCGCGTGCCAACTGGCTCCCGAGTGCCCCTTTTCCGAACGGCCGACGACAGGTCGATCATCGAGGTGCTCTTCTTCTTGCCGCTTTCCGGCAGCTGTTGCTTGTCGGAGGGCCGCTTGACGGGGAACTTCTTCAGCGAGCCGACCAGTTGGATCGTCGGTTTCTTGCCAGCGCAGGGGATCGGTAGCTGGGAGTTGTACTGGAGCTTGCGCCGGGTGTTTTGGACGGTAGGCGACTCGGTGACGGCCGAAGCGGGCGCACCGGTGAAGGGGCTCGACCGACCGAGCAGTGGCGTCGTTGGGGTTTTCTTCGGCATTTTCGGGCTGACCGACGAGTTTTGGTTTGGCTGATGCTGCCGATCGTTTTGAGAGTACGAGTTGCTTGGAAAAGGGCTGATATCCAGTTGAGGGGTTCGGGTTGTCAACCACTGACTGGAAGTTTGGTGCGCTCGGCAGCTGGTGTTTCGATGATCGTCGTTTGTTTTTTGTTTCTTTTTCGTTTGAAGGTACTTGCGTCTGCAATGTTATTTTTGCACCGGTACTTTCATCCTTTTAGACCATACACGAGTGCGTGCCAACAATGCCCCTGAAATTAGGTGATTCTATCTGCACGGAAGGATTTTAGCTGTTTTTTTTTCAAATGGCTTCACGTTGTCGATGATGGATGAGATATTTACCAATAAATTAAACATTTGATCAGCATGAGGAACTAAAAGATTAAGAAGACCAATTTCCCTCTTTGATCAGTCAACCCAAAAGTTTTTGGGACCATAAAACTTGCTATGAAAATAATGCAATTGAAATAATTTATTATTAATCAACTCTTTATGAATCATTAGCAGTATCGATGTCAAGATCGTTGAATACGTTTTAATGACATTTATTTTTTTTTTTTTGTAATGTCTGCTTGAACATTTATAATATATTTGGTACTCAACCTACACCCATACGCTTGTTACTTTGACGTTCGATTTATTGGAATGGTAACCAATAGGAAGATAAAGGGCTAAATGGCTTCTCGAAAAGTTGCGCGAAAGATCCGCTCCGTACGACTTGGTCGTATCTCATAGGCTTGTTCCTCATTTCTCTCCCTCTTACCACTCCTTCCCACTCGCGGGTGAGTGTATACGGGCGAACAGCAGCATATAGCCCTCGAGCGAGCCCAAAATACCACCCCTTAAGTGCACGTGTCATATATACACGTATACGGTAAATACCGCGCGAGTCTCGGTCTTATTCAGTGCTTCTGCGCCGACGAGAAAAGGAGAGGAAAATAAAAGAGCGCTCGGTATGGAAAAGGGGGAGAAAAGCTCGAGGTGACAAAGAGGGCTCTATCCTTCCATCGCGGCTGCGGTCATTCTCTCCGTTTCACCGCGAGCCCGAAATAAACCTCTCTTTGCTCTCTACGACACCCCCCACCTCCCTATATCGAGCTTAATGCTGCTGCATCCTCGTTTTATTGGGAACTTTTGTTTTTTCTCTAAAGACGAGAGAGGGTAAACAGAAAGAAGCGATATCGTGTATCTTGCCCCGAGTAATCGCCTGGTTGATAACCATGTTTGCTCTCGACGCATTTATGTCGCTGCGCTTGAAACACCGTAACCACGTAGAAAAATCGTCAAGCGAGTATATATCGTGGCATTCATCCTCGCAAGCTCGGTTTGGCGCGAAACTCAAAAATCCCCAGTCTCGAAGGCCATAGCAAATCACCTCCGATCGATCATTCCCCGCGGAACCGGCGATAAGCCCGTCCGATCGTCAGCTGTTGTTTCGCACACGCAGCAAAAACATACGCCAAGTCTCGGGAGTATCGAGTTGGGCCTCTCACGTACTATCTGTGCAATTTTCGTCGGGCAAAAGAGGCGCAAGCGCTCTCTGCACCGATACGATTGTGGTGGAGGCACCGCTCGTATCTTACACTACGTTCCACGCTCCACTCGACGCTTGCAATCGGTAACATATTGCGCGCGCGCGCAACTCCTCGGCACCACCGCGTCGTACGAAACACACATATATACATACACGTATACCTATATATCGTTATGCGCGTTATACCTATATAGGGGAAGAAAACCAGGAGGTGGAGGAGAACCAGTGCGTAGGTAATACATGTATATGTGTGGTACAAAACATATCGTGTTCCTGTGCGCGCTTGTGTACATGTAGGTATTATGGGTTCGTTGGCGGCGCCCGGCGGTCGGTCGGTCGGGACGAGACTTTGGCCGATCAGTCGTGTTCCGTGAAAGCCAGAGGGAACAGCGGTACACACATATAAAACACCGACTCGCAAAACTTTTGTTGTACTCTCGGACGCGACTCCACCGCCGTGTCCCCTTACGCTTTTTGCGTAACAATCGAAGTGCATCCGGAGTATATCCAGTCACCTCCTCATCTTTTTTTTTTTTTTTTTTTTTTTTTTTTTTTTTTTTTTTTCGTTCCGAATAACTACAAATACCAAGACGAGAGCATTATTGCGTGCTCCGTCGCACGCGCGCGCGTGTGTGCGTGTGCTTGCGTGGGTGGTGGTAGTGGGAGGCTCCGTGTGGGTTGGACGGCACCCCGTGTCGCACCACCCGTTCGTACAATTCGCCCGACCCGAGCGAGCGAGGAAAACGGCGTTTCCCTGGACTTTGGAGCACCGCGTATAGCCTTTGGCTCGTCGTTTTAAAACCGGCTGGATCGTATACATGTAATACATATTGTGATAACCGAGCTGCAGGATAGGACAATCCGCACTCGTAGGGCACCTCTCGTCCGGGAAAAATTGCAGTGCGCGCGCGCGCGCGCCCGTGTCTCTCAGTGTGTGTGTGTGTGTGTGTGTGTGTGTGTGCGCGCACTGTTTGCTATATAATATACGCACAGGGCTGGCTACACGAGCATCACCTAGAGAGTCGCTGAAACAACATCCTCATCTGGTACGCGCAGGCAAGTCTCATCAGCGGGCAGTACCTACCTGCTATATTTGTGTACACTCATTACCTCTGGGACGGCTCCTATTGTCTTTGCGCTGTACGGATGTACTTATATTAGAAAATCGTTAAGCCGCAGGGAGAGAAACAGCACGCATATATATACCTGGCTGCCGATGTTTTGTTCCTGATGCTTGGCTCTCCTATAAGTACACACTCTTCCTCTGGTTATTCTTCCTTCTCACGACACTTTCGAACGCCTCTATACGTATATGTATACATATAGGTACTGTCTTTCTTTTATTTGCTGGAGCACAAGTGTGACGCATATAATATACGATACGAGCTTATTTTTCGAGGTTATATGGACGTGATGCAGCAGAGAGGAGAGCGGAGAAAGCTGAAAGAAAAAACAACACATCCGGGGCCCCGTGCAATCGATTTCGCTTACTTTTACGTATACAGCTGTATTATAGTTTGTCTTATGTATATAGACGCGATCGATTTTTTTCGAGCTCCTCGGCTCGTTGAATTATTCATCATCTTCGGGTGGAATCGCGGGGTACCCGGGCTTAATGATTCAGCGCGAAAAACGCGAGGATCTTTAAGTTTTTTTTCCTCAAACAAAGCCCCACAGAGTTTGCGCCAAACTTTAAATATTAAGAGGGTGATAGAGGCGGCCACTTCCAGGTACACTGCAATTTTTTCGTTGCATAAGCGCCGATTTTATCTCTCGCGTTAGCTATAATTCAATGTATTATATACATACATCGGCACTTGCTGCGGTGAGTGATTATCGAGAGATAATCGTTAAGTGATTTTAAATCGTTTTGTCGTATCAGCCGATTTTTCCGATTTTTTTTTTTTTTTTTTGATCCGAGCGATAGCCAAATCATAATTAGTGGCAGATAGTATTTTTTTTTTTTTTTTTTTTTTATATTGCATCGTGAGTCTCTACATGTTTACCGCCAGCTTTGGATTTTGGAGCTTGCAGTACGTTGTTGAGCTGTACCAAGCATCGACGGATTATTGAGATCGGCTGCATCGCTGTGGAGATCGGTAAAGTTGTTACATTAATTTTATAACCATTAAATGGGCCATTCGTCACACGAAACACGTAAGAATACGCGAGTGAGTAGCTGCACTTTCGAGTGGCAATAGGTGTAATAAGTACTCCTCTGCTCGAGCGCGCCGATTTCGTGAATTTTTCTTTTCACAGAGATCCAGAGGTGTTTAATTATAGACGAGACTCGGGAACGCCGGGAGTAGAGACCTATAGGGGAGCTCCCTTGCCCGAAATAATGCGATTGGATTAGCAGCATACGCCACTGTCCAGAGAAAGAGATACGTAGACAGGGCACGGCGTCATTTTCTCTACTTTGTTGTTTCACTTTGCTCATCCTCATTTTCTCCTTCTTCTTCTTTGGATCATCTGGTCCAGCCGAGCTTTCTCCACATTTCTCTCTAATTGCGTGTTTTCGCCCACCCCCTCCTATACCTGAGCTCCAGTGCTTTCGACACGCGAACGCGAGCAAACACTAGAATCCCTTTTGTCTACACGCGGCTCCTCGGACATCTTCCGATGATCATAACATTGACACACGTTGGAAGTTTTATTTTTCTGTTTCGTCGTTTCGCTGGCAACTATGTCAACGGCAATTAAATCTCATGACTCTCATTATTTTTGCATCACCGAGTGCTTGAAAAGACAAAAATCGGTAATCAATTTTTCACGAGCACCAACAACTTCGATAGGCTAATGCGAAATTGATTGATTAGGTGTTTAAAAAGAGATACTGAGGCTTGATTGTTTCACGCGAATATGCTGAAGAATCAGAGGCAAAGACAGGAAGAGAAGAATAAAATTGTGTTTGATTATACTAGACAAGTCTGCGATTTTTCTCACAATCAGTGGTCGTCGCGAAAAAAAAAACAAAATATCCCAGGGATAAATTTTTAGTCGAATCGTTGGCGTGTTATCTTTCATCTGTAAGGTAAATAACGTTGAAACTGCATGGTTTTGTTGCAGCGAGTGATGCCATGAGAAACAGCTACAATATCGACGGACAGTGATATTAAAAAAAAAAAAAAAAAAAAAAAAAAATTTTTTTTTA